GCTATACAGGGTGCATTTTGTTTTTTATTGGCTTTGCGAATGTTGTTTTAGCACCGCTACCCCTTCACCGTTTTTTTTATTATTTGTGTTCGTCTTGAGGTTTCTTTTTTCATAATAGTGCAATTAACATGTCGACACAGGATTTGGAACGTCAGATTTCTGAATTAAAAACCAAGCTTGATTCCTTACAGTGCCCATCACAAGCTTCACATTGTCATGTATCTGCCGTGTCGGTTAAATTGCCACCCTTTTGGGCCGACAAGCCTACTACGTGGTTCGGTTTAGTTGAGGCACAATTTCACATAGCTGGTATTACTCAGGACATCACCAAATACAGTCATGTCATTTCCATGTTAGACACCCGGGTGGCTGATGAAATCGAAGATATAATTGCGAGCCCACCAAAGGAAAACAAGTACGAGTGTCTCAAGGCTGAGCTTACGAAGCGGTTATCGACTTCGAGGGAGCAGCGAATTCGTCAACTTTTGGACGAGGAGCAACTGGGAGATAGAAAGCCATCACAATTCCTGCGGCACCTTCGCTCGCTAGCGGGCGACGTTCTGCCTAATGATGATTTCTTGCGGGAGTTGTGGTTAAGGCGCCTTCCACAAAGCGTCCAGGTAATTTTGACAGCGCAGGTCGATTTACCTCTCAGTAAAGTGGCTGAAATTGCTGATAAAGTTATGGAGGTAGCTCCACCTATTATGGGATCTGTCGTGGATGCCGTTGAAGCGAATACGCCGACTTTGACAAGTTTAGTACAGCGAATTGATGCGTTGGCTGAAAAAGTGGAGGCTCTACGCTCTAGCAACTCTAGTATTCAGCGAGGTCAATCTTCGTCTAAGTCTCCAGAGCGTGTTAACAAGCGGCTTTGCAGATTTCATAAGCGTTTCGGTGAAAAGGCTCACAGGTGCATTTCTCCATGTTCTTGGGAGGAAAATGTCAATAAAGCAAAAAACTAGACAGGCAGTCATTGATGGCGGCATCTGACTGTCTAGAGCCCGGCCGCCGGTTATTTGTTACTGATGTGTCATCTAAGCGTCGTTTTTTGATCGATACTGGTTCTGACCTCTGCTGCTTTCCGCGTCGTCTTCTAAGAGGAACTCATTCCTCTTCAGATTATGTGTTAGGTGCAGCTAATGGGAGCTCAATCAGGACCTATGGCACAGTGACTCTACGCCTTAATCTAGGGTTACGCCGGGTCTTTCATTGGAACTTTGTAATTGCCGATGTCAGCATACCAATAATTGGATCTGATTTCTTGGCGCATTACAGTCTATTACCAGACCTTCGTAATAAACGACTAATAGACGGAACTACTAATTGCTCGACTGCTGTTTCAGTGGATAAGACTTCACAGGCCAGTATTAGAGCGGTGTCCATTAATCAGTCACCATTTTCCGAGATTTTGCTCGAGTTTCCAGATCTGACTAAGCCACCTGGCTTACCGCGAGTTGTCAAACACTCTACAGTTCACCACATTATCACAACTGAAGGCCCTCCGGTTTCGAGTCGCCCACGCCGTCTAGCTCCGGAGAAGCTGTTAGAGGCAAAAAGAGAGTTTGATGACATGGTTGCCTGCGGGACAGCACGTCCTTCAAGCAGTCCGTGGTCTTCTCCTCTTCATATGGCGCGCAAAGGAGAAAATGGTTGGCGTCCTTGTGGGGATTTTCGCGCTTTAAATGCCAGGACGGTGCCTGATCGATATCCTGTGAGGCACATTGCTGATTTTGCTAACACGCTATCAGGATCTACTATATTTTCAACTATAGACCTGGTGAAAGCGTACCAGCAAATTCCAGTGAACGAGGCAGATATTTGCAAGACGGCCATAACCACTCCTTTTGGGTTATTCGAGTTTCCTTTCATGACCTTTGGTTTGCGTAATGCTGGACAAACGTTTCAGCGTTTTATTGACGAGGTCGTGAAAGGACTCGATTTTTGCTTCCCTTATGTTGATGACATCCTTGTGTACTCCAAGGATGCAGTCCAGCATGCGCAGCATCTTCGTACCCTGTTTCGTCGTCTTGTTGATTATGGTGTGGTTATCAACACGTCTAAATGTGTGTTTGGTGCGCCTGAGGTAACCTTTCTAGGTTATCAGGTGTCCAAAGAAGGTATTCGCCCTCCATTAAAACGTATTGAGGCCTTAAGAGATTATCCTTTGCCATTGACGGTACAAGGTCTTCGTCTTATGAGCTATTGGCGTCAGATATAACTCAATCGCTCAATGACAAAGCAGGCCGATTGAAAGAAGAACACAAAGTTGTTAGCTGAAGAAGAGCCAAAAATCAAGCTTCTCTGAAGAAATTTTAGGTCACTTGGACGCTCCGTTTCAAGCTTAAAGGTGGCGTTACATATCTGGTACACTTGCATACCAGTTCCATGCACGTGCCACCAACTGCCATCGCGTATACTGTATCTGGCAAGCGAGTAAACCACACAACATTCTTAGTTGGAAATAGAGGCAGCCAGTCACTTGCACATACCGTTGAAAAGAATGCAAGATTTTCCGTTTTACAGGAATGTGTATCGTCTTAAAACAGTGACCCTCTCATCGTGACTTTTCAAATCTGGTCTGATGCAGAACATGCACTTTGCAAAATGTGCAATTTTACATACTAATTTAATAGAAACAAACTCTTCAGCCCTAACCATTGTATTAGGTTAGGTCAGATTGTAATTTAACTACGTCAGATTGTAATCTCTGAATTGTGAACTCTGTCAGTTTATAATATAACGCGTTAGATTGTAAACTAACAGTGGGTTAGGTTAGGTTAGATTGTAATTTAACTACGTCAGATTGTAATCTGACGGAATTCACAATTTTACGGTGACATATAAAAGAGTGCGCATTTTGCGAAGTGCACATTCTACGTCAGACCCTTCAAATCACTCGATATCCCGGCATCCCCAGGCAGCGACTTTCCGCGTCACTTGATCCGTATCCACTGTTCTGCGAACCGTACGCCGGCACGCCAACCTAATCAGCCGACAATTAAGCCGTTTTTTCCTACGGTTTCAAACAATTAGCCACAACACTGATATATTTCTCGTGATTTCATTGTTACAATACTCCGCTAATGCTTGTTCTAATGACTTAAGTAAGACTATCACAACTAGACCATCTGATACGGTAATGTAATTAGTATTTTATCACTGCGCTCGGATTAATATCGGTTGAGACCGTGAGAATTTGAGATTAGCATAAAGAATAAGTTTGAGATGCGACTCTTATAACTAAGCATAAATATTTTTGGTACAATGTAAAACAAAACTGTCAAGATAGAGAACGTGATTTGACGCTCACATACATAATTTTACATACAATATTAGTTGTATGTATAGACGACAGAATAATGTTTTGGTAAATGTGAGACAAAACTGCTTAGTAGAGCACGTGATTTGAAACTTATAAGCATAATTTTACATACGGCAATATTTTTGTATGTACAGACGACAAAACAAAGGTTATTATTGCAATTTTTCAACACTATTGTCAAATCTAATGATGTGCTGTCGATTGATTGTTTTCATTATAACACTTTCAACTGTTCATATTGACCGTTCAACACAAGTTAGACCAATTTAACCTATCCGTTACTTCAACTACGGTGGCCTTTCCCTGAGCATACGTAATCTAATTTTAATTTCATATTTAGTAGCTGATACACTAATAGATGATTAAAACCAGGTTTTTAATGCACTGCGACGCTCCATGAAGCCATTTTAAAACTGCTTTTACCGTTGTATCTCGAAATCTACAATATCTGCCCTTTTTAAATTTAATTGCCATGTTCAGTGCAAATTATTATCATTTAACGATATCTTTGTATCGGGTCGGGCTTCGCGTAGGGTTGCCAGTGTACGGAAAAAATGCTATCAGGTTGTTTTATTGAATTAAGAATTCAGTTGATGTATTTTCCAGAGCGTTTTATTAGCGTCCCAAAAATTCATTTACTGACTTCAATTTTAAACCCTCCATATATGTATTCAGTATAATTTAATTATATAAATGCTAAATTGGCCCTACACATAGTTACTTCAAAGAATGAAATTGAATCAACCATCAATATCATTTACCTAACTATCACCATAATTTGAAGCTTTTCTCAGTCTATATTGAACTGTATTTCATCCATCTCCCAAGAGATAGCCACCTCTCGTTCCCACTGCTGCAACTCCTGTGGAGTCAGGATCTACAGCTTGGTCAGCCAATAAAAACCCGACCAGTGAAGGTTAGAGTCCCAAGGAGAGGTATTTTCCAAGAGAGAGTTTTTCAATGATTTTTATTGCCTCAAGACTAGCTGATTCCCTCAACTTGACTTGTACCAGCCCTACCCGTTGAAAGCTAGTGGTGCTTACAATTTCTTTACGTTTTATTTTCTGAACATTAATTTGTAGCAGAGCGCCATACATCAAAATAGTCATTAGCTTTGTCTAAATGTTCGCTTACATTAAGAACATACACTCTACCCTATAAAGCCAATTTAACTGCACGGTGTATCTAGGCGGCAGTAATTACTAGTATTATTATAATAATCACAGTTATTACCTGGTTAATTAAGGTCTAGCCCTAAAAGCAGGGCTTGTTATAGTGACTAGATAACGGATAAACATACTTAAATAAATATGCCTGACATGATGACGTGTACTTTTAACGTCTGATGTATGTACAAGCTCCTGTTCAAATTAACTTTTGCCTCCAGGTTTCGTACTCGCAACGGCTAATTTACACTAGGACAAACTTGACCTTCATATGAGTTTTTATTAGCGATCAAGCTGTAGCTCTTGGCTACACAGGAGTTGTAGCGGTGGAAACGAGAGGTGGGACTATTCCCATCATGTTTTTTTATCCACAACGAATTTCTTGGCCTGCATCTCACCAGATGGAAAGTGATGACCAAGTCGAAAGTAGAAGCGACCTTTACTCGGAATCCTCAAATACAAAGGAACTGACAATCTGATAACGATGATAAAGGAATAAAGAAGGTACCAACCTGCGTCTCCGTCAGGCTCAAAGCCTGGGCTAGCTGCTTCCTCTCAGCGCCCACCACGTAGTGGTTCTTCTCAAACGCGTGCTCCAGCTTGAGGAGTTGTGAAGGTGAGAACGCCGTTCTGATCCTCTTCGGCTTTCTGAACGGCTGCAGAAGGAACCCTGGGATGTCTGGGCCTGGAAGAGAAGATAGGGCAAATGAGACACCTGTGCGGTTAGATAGATATCTAGCTTGTAAACTAGACAATGGGATGACCCATTGTCGACATTGTCTCTGTCGTTGTTTTGCTACATGCAAGTAGATAGTCTTTATTTTTATGATCGTCAGGTCATTAGTATCTATTGCAGGAGCACAACACAACCCTCTATATTTACCAGAGGCAACTGAAATATTTGGCCCACACTTCCGTGCTGGTCAGATGGGTTGAGGTCTATACTGTAAATCACAGAAAACTGGCAGTCACCGAGAACGAAGAATTTTAAACTTGTGAAACCTAATCGAATATGTACTTCCAATGGTTCGTATCTTATGTCCGTCTTCTGAAGGCGTCTATTATGACCTTCTTCCAACTCTGTGTTTTGACAAGTAGTAATCTACTGTTAATTGTGAAAAATATAAAACGTTAAAATAGCGGTATCGTTATAGCCAATGAGCTGCTGTCATAGTGACATTGACGTATTGTCAATGTCACACGAGAATCAAACGTCAGAATAGCGGGACGCGCGGAGATGACTCCGCGCGCTTTTGTGCTAAGTGATGAAATGTATCTAAAATATGGCAATATATTGTGAAAGTTAAGTATCCAGTGTTTTATTTATGAGAATAGATCTACTGGCCTTTAATACTACCTAGAAACTTCTCTGCCTCTACACCCAACTTCTATAACTAAGGACGCACAAACATTACTATGAGGTCTCACAGTGCGCGTGGAAACACAGGGTGACACACGAACCAATCACAGAGCTCTATACAACGCTGTGCGTTCTATTTGCTGCTTCATTTAAGCAAGCATCCTTTGTGATTACGGCGGGAATGTTTTCAACACTCTGCTTTTTCTTCTTTTTTATAAAATGCTAAATAAATATGTTTCTTCCTTTGTTTCAATCTGCGTACTACCGATCCACTTAATCTCGCTCAACAACACCCTTCACTGAAGAACCATTATATTCAATATAGAAATGTTTTATTTAAACCCGCATAACTTATCCGCTATTTCACTCTTATGTACTACAAGGGGCTCAGCGTAAACCACCTTTACGGAACACTGTGATAAATGCTTCATAACACACCATAATCACTTCAAATTACTTAAATTAACGTCGAATATTTTCAACCGACTTCAAAAAAAAGGAGGAGGTTCTCAATTCGACCCGTATGTTTTTTTTTTCTATGTTTGTTACGCGATAACTCCGCCAATTATGAACCGATTTGAACAAATCTTTTTTCTGCTTATAGGTAATACCTCAAGAGTGGTCCCATTTAAATTTAATAATAGAAAAAACAACCCCCAAGGGTGGAAAATTGGGGATGAACTTTTTATACACAATATCTCCGCCGATTATAAATCAATTTGAACGATTATTTTTTTGTTGAATAGGTATTATCAAAAGGGTGATTTCATGCGAATTTGAAGAAAATATTTCACCCCCAAGGGTGGAAAATTGGGGATGAACTTTTTTATACGCAATATTTTCAATTTTTAGTTTTTTTTTTGTATTCACGCATTTGAAGTCGGTTTTATTTTAAAAAAAAGTTAATTATATAAATACCCGCTCTTCGTTGAAACGGCTACATCGACCATAAAAGGGTAGGCCCGAACATAAATAATTATGCCAATATTAATTGAATGTTATTTATGGAAAACGTAAAAGTAAATGGATAGACAAGCTGAAAAGTGCGTGTTTGCAAATTGACGGGTAATGAGGGTAAAATAGAGGATATGGGAATTGTTTTTGAAGTTATGAGCAGCTTTGGTATTCCAGCTGTTGCCATGGCAACTTCCTAGGTTCAGTGTCATGGATATGCCCTGAGGCCTAGTGTGAGTTTTTATTAGTGAGCGCGTCAAAAAATGATATTAAATGTAATGTATGACGGATTGTACAGCGCGCCTAGCGGGAAATGTTCAAAAACTAAAATTTTCATACATTTTGTATGTGTGAGTGTGAGTTTACACCAAACTCACACTCAGCCCACTGTTTGATATCTAACATTATAAAAAGGAAAGATTTGGTTGTTTGTTTGTATTGAATAGTCTCCGAAACACTGGACCGATTTGAAAAATTCTTTCACCATTAGAATCCTACATTATTTCTGATAAACAAAGGTGGTCCGAAGTTCGCCGGGGCAGGTAGTGACTAGAAGTGTTAAGCCCGCCTGTAATAGTATGCCAGGTCTTCGATTATTGTACATGTGTTTCTTTTTCGACTGCTATTATATTGGCACAAGTTTTTTATATTTTTATGCTCCTAAAAACACTTATAATGCAACAGGTTTAAAAATAATAAAAAGGTTTTCAGAAAAACATATTTTTTTTGCGTTGCTCATACAAAAGACTTCAACGACTCACATGTTCACAGATAAAATCTATGAACTTACACCCGTATTCACAAACATTGCTATGAGCTCTCACAGTGCGCGTGGACGCACAGGGTGACATAAAACCAATCATAGAGCTCTATTCAACGATTTGCTGCTTCACTTAAGCAAGCATCGTTTGTGAATACGGGCGTTAGTTCCGTAATTTTTACATCTTACAAATGCGTCAATACATTATAGTATCATAATATTAGTTTACCTTTTTCGCATGAGACCCAATCCATCTATACTAATATTATAAATGCGAAAGCAACTCTGTCTGTCTGTCTGTTTTGCTTACATGCCTAAACCACTAAACCGATTTTGAAATTTGGCATAGAGATAGTTTGAGTTGGGAAAGGACATAGGATAGTTTTTATCCCGGTTTTTGAAACAGGGACGCGCGCGATAAAGTTTTTCTGTGACAGACAAAATTCCACGCGGACGAAGCCGCGGGCGGAAAGCTAGTTATCTGTATATGTCGCTGTGTGATCCCTTGTAAGGTATAATAATGTATTGTAGGCCTTAATTGATAGATACTGCCCTGTAGCCGATCGACTCTTTAGTTATGACACGTAGTATTTTACGTCAGAATTATTGATATGTTTTCAAACAATATGAGCTATAGTAGTAAATAATTGATGACTGCTTTGACATGTGCTGTTATCAAGCTGTTTATATAAATAAAGTATTTGTGTGTCGTGAGAACTAAAAGGTTTTATTCATAGGTTTATGTCATAGGCCTCATTCGTTTATGTATTACCTGTGGTATTACTAGCGGCCGCCCGCGACTTCGTACGCGTGGATCCCGTTTTACCCCTTTAGGGGTGGAGTTTCGTAAAATCCTTTCTTAGCGGATGCCTACGTCATAACATCTGCATGCCCGATCCGTCCAGTGGTTTGGGCTGTGCGTTGATAGATCACTATGTCAGTCAGTCAGTCAGTCACCTTTAAGTTATATATATTTAGATAGGTTTAACGCTTAATTCAGTCAGTGCCTGAATGTTTTTGTAACGTCAAACGTCAGCGAGACTTCAGATCTCCTTCAGATTGTATCAAAATCAAAAACCAAAATCAACCAAAATCAAAAACATTTATTCAGTTTAGACCACAAGTTGCACTTATGAACGTCAAAATATGTATAGTAAATAATTAAAAAAATAAAAGGTAGCCCGAAAACGTTTGTTAGTCGTATACCTCGAAATCAAAAACTCCTTGTAGCTTTTCACCTATTCGCATTTCGCCGCGATATCAAAATTTCTGAATAGATTTTTATTGTTCTAGTATAATTTTTGATCGCTAATTACAATTGTCTAAAAAATTCATAGTAGATTTACTTTCCTACCTGTGTTCACTGTAGTCGATAATATTGATAATACATGCTACATCAAAATTTGCTACTGTTGTAAAAATCTGTTAAAAATATATGCTAGTAACAAAATATACTACAGATATTACACGCTACAACAAAAAACGCTATCACGGTGAAATGCGAATAGGTAGGTGAAAAGCTACAAGGATTTTTTGATCAAGGTATACGACTAACAAACGCCCGAAAAGTAGGTATGCTCTATCACGTCATAATATTATGTCAATGTCACCCCTCCCGTGCCGCTTCCATACCCCAGGCACTGACTTAGAAAGCGATAAACCTATGGTCAGTGGTTTTACTTCCCACAAAACTATGTACAGATGACGGCGTGTCGAGTTAAAGACTGTAGCATCTTATGCAGTTGCAATAGAGTTAATTTTGCAACAGAAATAAACAGTCTGTTATGCTTGTCAAGAAAATATGTTTGTTACATTATGTATTATTTTTAAAGTTTCATTTTGCAAAATTAGGTGATATTAAATTAAAGTAGTAATTTTTCATATTATCGTTACAATTTCAATAATATTAGGCACATAGTACAACACCAAATCCTACTTCCTCAATACTGATATTGTATAAATTTCTAGAATATGACAATAATAGATTTTGTTCATTACAGGCCCGATAATTACCACCGGCTTAATTGTAGTGTTCAATAAAGAATTGTAAATACGATACTAAATAAAAATTAATCAACTAATTGACATTGTTTATTGCATTAAGCAACAATCACGCTGAAATTAATGTCGGCACAGAAAAGGCGAATGCGTTGAAATAAATCAGGGAAATGGATTAATGGAGGTAATAATAACTGTTGGATTTGATTCGACCTTATTTTGATATCAGAATATATTAGACACTTGAGGTAGGTCATAAATTAAAGTCTTCCATTAACTTGACCCACTTTTAGCTTGGTCCATGGGCTAAGCCGGATTGAATTTTTAAATTATGTTTTCTTCCGGCAACTGGGCCCAAGAGTAGACCCAGTGTTTAAAAATTCAAACCTGTGACTTGGCTCGTGGACCATCCTAAAAGTGGGCCAAGTCGCTAGAAGACACAATTGTTACTGACAAGTTTTTCACTTTTCTATATCCTTTATCGGAATCAAATCTTGAACTTCTGAACCGTGGGACTATCTCTCCAACCACTAGACTAACAAAGTCCAACCATGTCATAGTTTAGTAACTGGATAAGGGTTTCAATTTTGGTGCATTATGATTGCAATTGCAT